AGCCCCATCCAGCCTGGCCTGGAACACTCCCAGGGATGGAGCAGCCACAGCTGCTCTGAGCAACCTGTGCCAGTGCCTCAGCACCTCACAGGGAGGAATTTCTTCCCAATATCAAATCTAACCCTACTCTCTGTCAGTTTGGATCCATTCCCCCTTGTCCTATTCCTCCAGCCCTTGTCAATAGTCTCTCTCCATCTCTCCTGTAGCTCCTTCAGGCACTGAAGGCCACAGTGAGGTCACCCCAAAGCTTCTCTTCTCCAGGCTGAACAATCCCAATTCTCTCAGCCTTTCCTCCCAGCAGAGCTGCTCCATCCCTCTGACCATCTTGATGCCTCTTCTGGACTCTCCAACAGGTCTAAGTCCTTCCTGTGCCTTCACCCTGACACTCCTTGTACTTACAGAGGTGATGAGCATATCGTAAGTGGAACACATCGCAGCCATGAACGTGGTGGTAGAGGGTTTTTTCTATCAGATCTTGGGGTTCATATCCAGTTAGTTCAGTGACCCTGGAAAAGGAAGAATCCATAATAAACAAAAATCTCTAGGAGTATTCAGTTTCACAAACCTAACATTTGACTGTGCCAACAAATCAGGTGCCTAAAAACTGCAGGAGAAAATGTTAGTTTTGGAAACAGAATCTTCATCTTTATAAGAAAACAAACCCTCTCAGCCCAGCCAGAGCAAGGTGCAGCTATTCCCTGGGACACATAGGCAGGAAAAAGAGCTCTTTGACTTATTCCCACCTTGGGCTTTTGCTGCTGCCATGCATGATCCTCTGGACAAAGTTCCAGTGGAGGAGCTGCTGCTGAAGCAATAAAACCTCTCTTGTGGGCTGCTGACACATTTACATTTGCTTTTGCAAACATACAAGTGTAGCATGGGTGTTAGTCCACAGGAGCTATGACCATGGGCTGCGAATGAATTCAGGCTAATGCCTAACACAAGAAGGAAGCAGGAGCTTATTCCAGCTGAGAAGGTGGAAAGGCAAGGAGGTGTGAAGACCACAAGCTAAGGAAAGGAAGGCTGAAGTTAGGCTTCAAAAACCAGGTCTGAAACAGCAGCATCTCTGCAGATGTGAAAGAACCAGACTCACACGTCAGGCTTCCACTGGGTCAGACCTGAGGAGTTAAACCTCATGTTTCAAAATGGACTTTTGTTTTTTTAGCATAGTTGCTTGTGAATAAAAATCCTTTTAGTACAATGTGGGACTCAGCCAGAATGTGTCTTGTTTCTCCCATGATGTCCTGGGCTTTCTTCACTTGAAAAAGGCACAGCAGAGGTACCGCACAAAACCATGACTACACTGACAAGCAGCACAGTCCATTAGCAGGTGATCCACAGAGTAAAACTCTTACTGCTGAGGTTCTACTTCTGCACCAGCACCTGCATATTTTAATTTCAGGAGTTTTACTTGGGACTAGCTCTAATCTAGGCCTGGGGATTGGAAGCTTTATAAGAGTTGGAGCACCTTAGGCATGGCCTTGGAGGTTGTCCTCCAGTTTAGGTTGAAGGAATCCAGTTTACAGGCTCAAGGCTTCTACAGGATGTGATCTGAAGTGGTGCCAGTCAGGACATTCACCTCAAAGAGATGTTTCTGGTGTGAACTTACACACTAATGAGGGTGCAGTGCATCAGACAGTAACACAGTAGTATCTACAGAAATGACCGTGGAGTCTCAAGTAACGTGTGTCACTAGGGGATTGCAGATCATATAAACTTTGCTTAGTATTTTTGATTGATTAGCATTTTGTTTTCTGTTGTAACTATTATGCATCTCCTCTACTCATGCCCTAACACTAACCAGTCCTGTGGACTCCACAGAGGCTGAGGACTTGACATTCTGCTTGAGAGAGAGTGTTGGGGGTTGGATTCTTCTGCAAGAAATCAGAAAAACGACAGCAGCAACACCAAAATGCCTTCGTGGCCTGATTCATTACAGAGCAGAAATCCATCCATACCCCCCAACCTATTCCTCCCTCTGGGAAACTCTTGCATGGCTTTGCCTCAGTCAAGGACTGACAAGGTGAAGTAACATGTGGACTCTTTCTGCAGAAGGATATGGGAATATATTCTTGTGCTTCTCCTCTGCTGTGTCTTCTGGCCCTCCTGGCTCACTATTCTAGGGGCCCAAATTCCTATCAGCATGGTGAAATGCTGGTGAAAAATCTTGGTCAGGTTTCAGTGCTCCTTCTGCCTTCAGTGCAATTAAAACAAGGGTGGCAGTTTCATCCTGCTCATTTCACTGCTGAGTACAGAAACAGCTGATCCAAACGCCAACAAAACACCACAAACCTAAGCCAAGTGTTAATTCTTCTGGAGGTGTGGTCTCACTTTGGAGCTGCTCTTCCCATGGGCCGAAAAAACACCATTGACAGTTACTAGGACACCCAAAGGTTTGGAAAGTTTGAATCTGGAAATAATCTCAGTTGATTTGTTTCCTTAACAGAAAATCAACCCCTCAGTGAGACACTGTAGGGAGCCAGGGCTGTCAAGGTTGTTCTTTGCATGTGACAGGACACACAGAAGGAAGCAGAGATTGCCCCAGTGATCAGTTCTGTCAGAGTTCTTTAAAGCCTTTTTTATACCACATGCCAATGAATGCATAGGCTGCAGCATGAAAACCAGAAGGAGCAGCTCACTTTGGAGGGATGTGACTGTCTTTCTTTCCCAGGGACCTCAATAAACGACCTCTTGCATGGCTTTTGTTGTATCAAGTGTCTACTGAGCTGCTCCTTCCCATGGCTTTCCCACTGGCCTGTGTGCTGTGTCTGCTGCCTCTAAAGATCCAGCAACACGTTCCCATGTATGGAAACCAGAAACAAGCCTGCAAACAGTTTGGTCTTATTCCTAATATGTCCCTGCTCTGAGCAAATACAGTTTGGTTTGCTCAGCTGGGAGAGCAAAAGGCTTTGGTAATGCTTAATACCCGCTGATTGTCCTGTGTGTGGATGACACCCATCTGCTCTTCAGTAAACACAGCTCTGCAACAGTTCTGGGTCTGTCCATGCTCCTGTCAGCACCTCTGGTTATGCTGTCTCCTTTGAAGACACTTATGTCTCCAGGCAGTTCCTCTCAGGCACATCATTTCCTTTTCTTCCACATGCAAAGACATGTTGCTAAACCCCCTTGTGCTTCTTTGTAGCTGTTGCATTTAAGTAATGGGTGCCAAAAAAGGAGGAAGGATTCCAGAAACAACTAGTTCTTTGTATTTCAGCAGCTGATG